CACTGCTCTCGTCATGTCGCGCTCGTATTCCAAAACAAAAGCTGCGCTCTCCTTACTTCTGTCAATCAATCCCAGAGCTAATCCACGGGATGTCAAAACTGTAAGCGTGCTGTCCTCGCTTCTGCCAGCTTAGAACCACCGACCGGACCAGAGAGGAGGTTCCGAAACAGCGCAGCTTTGTGCGGTCACTGGACCGAGGCTGAACGAACCGAGCCGAAACACAAAGCTACTGCCAGGGTGGAGAGTAGTTGTAGCTCCGGTTTAAAACGTACACGGTTCTGTTCCCCCTCGGAAAACTTGTGCGTGACAACTTTGCACTTAGCTGCAACTCTGTTTCTGATGAAAATAGAAAGTTCTGCTGACATTCTTGCTAACTTGTTAGCGCTGCATGTTATTGTGATCACGTGAGCTCTGCATGCTGGATCCAAGCGCTGCTGGATAGAAACGCTGGAGTGGAGTCAGTGAACTGCTGGAACGGACTGCTAATATCAGAGCGCTTATATCGAACATTTTTTATGCAGGTCGATAAAATCCGATACTCATTTTTTGCTGATATCGGACCGATATCCGATATCAATATCGGATCGGGACACCCCTAGAAACAGCATCAAATTAGTTGTAGAGTGCCTTTTTTTCATATCAGCGCACTCAGAAAATAATGTAAAAATTTGGTTTTAAAGTAACATCAGACCTGTTGTTGTAGTACCTGTACTTTTATTTTGAGTTTTAGGCTTTTAGAACCAGGCTAACAGAAGAAATGCCAGCTTTGTTGTACCTGTTTAATGTTACATCCCTTTGTGTATTTTTTAAGCTTCCAAATCCAAATCTTCTGCATGCTGCAGACACAAAGTTTACAGTACCTGATTAATTATTATCATTACTATTATTATTATTTTGTTTGTTTCATAGGGTATCCAGGATTCCTCTCCTCGTAACCCATCACCTGTGGTTCAAAATGGGGACAAAGGTGAGTTCAAATAAGCTGAATAGGGATTTTGCGTTTTTGCTCAGAYATTATGTTTTTAGCTGTTACCTATGTCTGCACTCATTAGGTTGATGACACACARGATCTGTGTGAAGCCTGCTGTGATGCTGTTTTTCTGGTGGTTWTTTTTCCCCTGACAGAAGACCGTCACCTCTGCACACTTCCCTCAACCACCTCCTCCCAGTTATCACCAGGAGACCTTGGAGCCGAAACAGTCTCTGCTGGACCCTCCTTCAGTGAGCCTGACTCTGTCAGCATCCCTGAAGGTCTACTCTCTCTCTCTCTCTCACACACACACACACACACACACACACACACACACACACACACACACACACACACACA